TTTCTCCTCTTTCATTTGTGAGCCTATTTATTTGTGCTTTCTCCTGATTTTCCTTTGTGAGCCTGGCTAGAGGTTTGTCTATTTTTTTATTTTTTTCAAAGAACCAACTTTTGGTTTCAATGATCATCTGGATTATTATTTTTATTTTTTTTTTTACTTTCTATTTCATTTATTTCTGCTTTGATTTTTATTATTCCTTTCTTCTACTGGTTTTGGTGTTCTTTTTCTGATTCTTTCAGATGTGAGATTAGGTTGATTCTTTGAGTTCTTTCTTGCTTCTTGATGTGAGCCTGTATTGCTATATATTTTCCTCTCATTACTGCTTTTGCTGCACCCCATACATTTTGGAAATTGGTGTCCTCCTTGTGATTCAACACAAAGTATTTTTTAATTTCTTCTTTGATCTTCTCATTAATCCAGTCGTCTTCCAGTAGTGTGGGATTCAATCTCCATGAGGTGGGACAGTTGTTTGCCTTCTATTTATGATTTATTTCTAGTTTGATTCCTTCGTGTTGAGAGAAGATGGTTGGTATGATTTCAAACTTGGTGTATCTGTTGATATTTGTCTAGTGTTCCAGTATGTGATTGATCCTGGAGAGTGATCCATGTGTCTTGAGAAAAATGTGTAGTCATATTTTTTGGGGGGTTTTAGTATTCTACAGATGTCTCTTAAGCCCATAAGGTCTAGATCCTTATTTAGAGCTTTAATGTCCTTACTTATTTTTTGTCTCATTGATCTATCCATTGTTGATATCAGTGTGTTCAAGTTTCCTACTACATATGTGTTTTCTCTGATGTCTTTTTTCAGAAATGATAATAGTTGACTTATGTATTTTGGTGCTCCTTCATTTGGAGAGTATATGTTAATAAGTGTTATTTCTCCTTGAAGTACTGTCCCCTTGAACATAATGTAGTGACTGTCTGGGTCTCTTTTTACAGTTTGAGTTTGAAATCTGTTTTATCTAATATAAGTATAACTGTTCCTGCCTTCGTTTTTGGTCCATTTGCTTGTAGGATTGTTTTCCACCCTTCTAATTTCAGTCTTTTGTTATCTTTTATAGTTAAATGTGTTTTCTGGAAACAGCAAAAGCTTGGGTTTTGTTTCTTAATCCAGCCTGCCACTCTGTGTATTTTTATTGAAGAGTTTAGTCTGTTTACATTTATAATTAATATTGATATGTTAGCATCTGTATTTGCCATTTTGTTTGTCTTTTCTCTAGTTTTATTTATTTATTTTTAATAGGTTTTTTTTTTTTGTCTTGTTTTGTTGTTATTCATCCTTCTGTTGGTTCTGGCTTTAGTACCCCTTGTAGTATTTTTTGGAGGGGGGGTTTAGCCGTGGTGAAATTTTGAAGTTTCTGTTTGTCTGGGAAAGTCCTTATTCTTACTTCAAAGAGGAAGGAAAGCTTTGCAGGATAGAGTATTCTTTGTTGGCATTTGTTGTCTTAGAGTTTGTTGACTATGTTCCTCCACTCTCCTTGCCCGTAGTTTTTCTTCACAGAAGTCTGATGTCAGCCTGATTAGTTTTCCTTTGTGTGTTATCTGTTTTTTCCCTCTTGTAAGCTTCATTAATTTTTCCTTGTCTTGGATTTTTGGGAGCTTTAGTGTTATATGTCTTGCTATATTTTTCCTTTCATCATGGAAGTTTGGTGTTCTTCTTGCTTATTGTATATCTATTTTCACCTCCTTCATGTTTGGGAAGTTCTCTTCTATTATTTTCTTGAATATTTTCTCTGTTCCTATGTATCTCTCCTCTCCTTCTGGGATTCTTATAACTCTTATATTTCCTTTCCTCATGGAGTCAGATAGTTCCCAAAGTCTTCTTTTTTTTTCTTTTTCTTTTGTACTTCTCTTACCTTTTCTGTTTTGGTTCTTTTTATTTCTGTGTCTTCGAGAGTACTTATTCATTCTTCCATTTCATCTATTCTGCTTTCACTGCTTTCCCCAGAGTTCTTTATCTCCTCCATTAATCCTTTGATCTCCTGCATTTCTTTCTCTTCCCTCTTTAGTGACTGAATTTCATTCTTCTAGTCGTTGATTATTTTTCCCATATCATTAATTATTTTTCCCATATCATTTTCGACTTCTTTCAGTTCTTTTAATTATGGTGACTTTAAATTCTCTATCAGGAAGACTCATAAGTTCCTCTAACTCACTGTTGTAGTCGGTGTTTGATTTTCTTTTAGTGGTATGTCTTTTCCCTGGGGATGTGCTTGGTTGCTTACAATTTTTCTTCTCCCTGCTGTTTGTTTTCTAATTTGTCCTATGTGTTGGGACAGTATTTCACTGGTACTGGCTGGCATCTCAAAAAGAGAACTATTGTGTCTAGATCTCTGACATAAGGCAGGTATTTTCATCTCCAGAAGTTTCTATTGTTGAATAAAAGTGGAGCAAATATCAGAACCATAGTATTATAGTGATGGGTGTATAAGTATGTGAAGAATTTACACTTCTTAAATATTAACTTTCACCATCATCCTAATTATTTTATATGCCATGTGTTTCAACTTATTTATTTTAATTTTTAAAGGTTTTATTTTGATTTATGTATGCTTACAAGAACTGGGGTGCAGTCCAGAGGGTACAAGGGGAGACAGCAGTGAGAGCATTTACCTGAGACAAGATTATAGAGCAGACCAGGTGGATCTACTGGAAAACAGTGTTAAGGGGAACAGTGGACAAGAAAGTAGATATCCGATGTTCCAAATGTAGAATAGCTCCCTGGCCAGGGATCAAACTTAGACAGCAGCAGTGATAGCATTTTATCACTGTGACTTAACCCCTGTGCCACCAGGGAGACCCATGAGTTTCAATTTAAAAGGATACACAGACATTGGCAAAGATAAGTTTCAATGAATATGGTATCAGAAAAAAAAAAAAAAAAAAACTGGGCCTCCCCGGTGGCGCAGCCATTGAGTGCTGGGCTAAAAAGCTCCCACAGCCTCTGCAGCACCTATTCGATCCCTTGCCGCTGGTGAGGGTCCTACGTGGCGTGCAGACCTCTCCTGCTGCTCGCCCGCTGCTCCCCTCAACAGTACACTTTGTCGGTCTGCCTGTTCTGCTCCTTGCTCTGGCTCTGGTGAATTTTCTCACCCTCCCACTCTTCTGACTGTACCCAGTGCTTGTATAAATAAATGCATTAATCTTAAAAAAAGAAAACACTAAAATTAAAAAAAAAAGACAAAGGAGTGAAACAGGGATGCAAACTCATAAACCCCACAATAGCTTACCTGTTTTATTTGTTATTTCACATTTCACTTTACATATTTTATATGTCATAAATATATTTCATTTCATACAGCTTTCAGTCATTTATGTTTTGAACACACTGTTTTATTCATAAAATTGTGCTGATTTTCACTGAGGAAATATTGGTTTACGACACTGTATGTGATTAAGAAGTATTGGTTCACAACACTTCATATGTGTTTGTTACTCTACCATACTAATGTCCAAGGCACCCCTAATCTTCCACTGTAGTTTATACTATTTACATGAACATATTAATCTGATTTCATATATATATACATATATACATACATACATACATACATATATACATATATACACATGTGTGTATATGTATATGTGTGTGTATATATATATATATATATATATATATATAAAGCTTAAAAACCTTTCACTGGATGATCAAACACTCTGTTGCCTAACACTGTAATTACTGACATCATGTGACTATTAGGCACTTTAAAATGTATTGAATAAGATATGTTACATGCTCTCAGTATAATATACAAGCAAGATTGTCAAGACAAAGAATGAAAACAAAATAAAGTCACCATTATCATCTTTTTGTTTTTTTAAAGATTTATTTTATTTATGCATACAAGAACTGGGGTGTAAGCCAGAGATATATGGGGGTGAGAGGATTCAGCAGAGAGAGTGGGTTGCAGAACATGCAGATTTAATGAAATACACTGCTGAGAGGAGCAACGGGTGAGCCAGGAGAGGTCTGCTGCACCTTGTGGGTTGCCCCTGGCTGGCGGCAGATCAACTCCTGCTGCAGTGGCTGACTATAGCTTGATATCACTATGTTTAACCCCTATGCCACCAGGGAGGCCCCCACCATTACCATTTCATACTGTCTACATATAGAAATGACAATATATCAATGTGAATGAAAATATATTAAAGGTAGCATATGTATAGATATATTTATAGCATAGATATATATATATCTATATATATCTATATATATATATATCATAGATATATTTATAGCACAAATACTAGTGGTATAGTATATCATTAACATCAACTTTATTAATAACATTATTGATTATAGAAACTGAAAAAGTTTGGGGCTCCCTGGTGGCATAGGGCTAAGTTTCAGCACTACCCCTTCTACAATCTGAGTTTGATCTCCAGCCAAGGGAGCTAACTCACAGATGGTGCAGCAGATCTCTCCTATCTTGCCTGCTGCTCCCCTTAGCAGTTTATGTCAATAAAGCCATCTGCTCTGATCCCTACTCTGTCTCTGGTGAATCCTCTCAGCCTCTGTACCTCTGGCCTGTATCCCAGTTCTGATAAACAAATAAATAAAATCTTTAAAAAAAAAAAATCTTATTGAGATAATTTCAGTGTTTTTTTTTTTTTTTAAGATTTATTTATTTATGCAAACAAGAACTGGAGTACAGGCCAGAGGTGTGGGAGGGTGAGAGGATTCACCAGAGACATGGTGGGGAACAGGATGGGCAGATAGACTGAGCACACTGCTGAGGGGAGCAGCTGGTGACAGCAAGAGAGGAGAGTTCTACTGAGCCATTTGCATTTCTCCCTGGCCGGCTAGGGATGAATCCACACTCCAATAGCTTCACATCCCTGCACTCAACACCCCTGTGCCACGAGGGAGGTCCTAATTTTGCTTCCTAAATTTATCTACTAGAAAATTTAAAATAACATATGGGAATCAAATTAAAGATCTACCAGAAGGTGAGGCTCTAGGAAAGGGAAATAAAAGTAAGTAAGAGCAGCCATGATTATTTCTTTTTGGAGGAGAATATTGGAAAAACTCTTGTCATGGCTCCCAGAACTTCCTTATTTCTCAGACTATAGATTATGGGATTGAGCATGGGGGTTAAAATAGTGTAGAAAACAGCCATGTTCTTATCTTCTGCTGGGGAACGGAGATTCCTAGGCCTGAGATAGGTATAGACAAAAGGTGCATAGTAAAATGTCACCACAGTTAAATGTGTGGAACAGGTGGTGAAGGCCTTCTTTCTTCCCTCTTTGGAGCGCATGTGGTAGACAACAAAAAGCACCCGACCATAGGAGGCTGTGATTCCAAGGAAAGGGACAAGGAGAAAGAGGCTTGTGCTCACAAAAACCAAGTATTCATAGACCCAGGTGTCCATGCAAGCCAGAGGCAACATGGCTGGGACATCGCAGAAGAAGTGATCAATGACTCTGGACCGGCAGTAAGGAATATGGAGGGCATAGACTGTGTGTGCTAAAGAGTTGGTGGACCCCAGGATCCAAGATCCTATGATCATTTTCACACACATCCTTTTACTCATGCGGATGGGATAATGAAGGGGGTGGCAGATGGCCACATATCGGTCATAGGCCATGGAGCAAAGGAGTAAACCTTCAGAACCTGCCATAGTCAGAAAGAAGAAGCACTGGAACCAACATCCCAGGAAGGAGATGCCTTTCTGACCTGAGAAGAAGTTGAACATCATCTTGGGGACAGTGGTGGAGATGTACATCAGGTCCATGAGGGAGAGCTGGCTGAGGAGAATGTACATTGGAGTGTGTAGCCGGGGATCCATGCGTATGAGGTGAATCATAGTTGAATTTCCCAGTGAGGCAAGAAGGAATATGAAGCTGATAAGGAGTAAGAGAATCAAGCCAGTTCCATTTGGGGGAAACAACCCCAACAAAATGAAATCATTTGAAGTTTGATTCCATTTCTCCATGAAAACTTACTGCTTGTTAAACTTCCTTGAAAGAAAAACAAAAACAAAGTCCAGAACATGAAATGAAACAAAGTAATTGCATAAAAAGGAATTCTAACTTTATTAATGTTAGTTAAGAATGAATTGCTTTTTGTTGAATATGACAGCTTTCAGTAAACCCTTCCATTAGCTAATTAAATGTTCCTCTTCAAGTTTTCTCTGATACCTGCTCAGCAGGTGACTTTTAAGTAGAAAGCCTGGTATCATAGCAAGCACAGGTAACAAGATCACTAAAGCATTCCTCTCTAGGTAATGCATGCCCAGGAACAGAACTCTTGATTTGTCAAGTCAGAGAAATGATTGCCTTCCTCCATGGACATGTATTTAATTAAACACGTGGAAAGGATAACTGAAATATATAACTAGAAAATTTCTGGATAAATTCTAAGTCTTTTATTACCTATCCCTTCCCTATCTTTAACTGGCCTGTTCAACTGCTCTTATTTCCTATATATATATATATATATATATATATATATATATATATACACACACACACATACACACACACACACACACACACCTGATTCCCTGCTTGTTGTATTTTTCACTTCTTTGCTTTTCTCAAGTGTCCCTACCATCTCAAATCACTATTCTTGAACTGCAAAGACTAACATGCTCTTTAATATCCTATCTAATTATAGAATATTATGTGAATATTCTCTCTTTCACTGTGATATTTCCATTGACCAATAACCTACACATTCCAGCATCAGTGGCAACTTTTTTGCTTCATGAATATGATTTTTATATGACAAAGTTCACAAATTATGGATTCTGTGCACATTTGATGTTGGTGTTTCTGAGAATTAAGTTCAACACATGCACATGTCTTTTCATGACTCATGGTTGTGATGGCAGGTTGTCCAGCAATCTCTGTCCTTACCTGTCATGACCTTTACCATGGCTGATACAGCTATCTGTGCATAGCTGCATATATCATATTTGTTAAGACTGTCTCCCTCACCTCTCTTTAGAGTTTGTCCTTTTATGTTGGGCATTGCCCTGGTTTTAAAAACAGAAATCATTAAGATCAGGGCAATTCAGGACATTTTGTTACCCATTCAATATCTGAAATGTTACTCTACTCTGCATCGCACAGATATTGCACTTACATTTTTACATGTTTGATGTAAGGACCAAAGTTTTTCTTTGTAAATAATTTAATATAATTCATTTAATATATGAAGAACAATTCAGTTCAAGAATCAGTATTTAGCATATATGGTGTGGAATTTAGTGACCCTCAACTATTTTGTTTGTCTGATGAAATAAACCAAACTTTTGCTTTACAAGTGAACAGATGTTTTTCATACCCATAAAAGCAACCAGTTCAGTTTAAAAATCTGTCTTTAGGATGTGAGACTTAGAACTTATGAGGGAAAAAAAAAACTTGTATGGTATCCTTTCCATTTGCTTCATATAATGCAAATTTATTTCAGACAAAGTAAGATACCAACAACATCCCAGAAAGTGATATTCCAAAAGAAGGCACTGACTCTGAGTTTATGTATTCCATGTTTAAAAGATAGACATACTTGTATTTGATTATTGCTGTGTATGCTGGACATTGACCTGGTTTTAAAAATAGAAATCATTATGATCATAATCCCCATGATCATTAACATCAGATTCGAGTTTAGAGTATCATAAATAGTGAAGATAATTACAAGAATGATTTGTTTTCTGAATTAAAATAGGACATGTTCCTAGATGATAGAAAGAGTTATTTTGAAGGAACTCAAAATTCAAGTAGATCTGGGACTTGAATTTTTAGGACATGGGACATAGGAGCTAGAACCTAGAGTCTTTTTATGTTAAAGCCCAATGGCTTTGTCCATTATTAAATCTTATTTAATGCTTTGGTATTACACAAAATACCATTTTATTGGTTACTTTGTGAATTTAGAATATTGTTCCTTTGGCTACAATTTGCATCAATGCCTCCCTTGATTATCTTAAATATATTGATGATATTTACAGAGATAAAAGATACCTAAACTTACAGACCTTTCTATTTAAAAATGTAGCAATTATATATTATTAAGTTTATTTTGTAAAAGTTATAGGTCTTACCTTTATATATTCCTGTAAAGAAGCAGTTTATAACCAAATAAGCACATTCTCTAAGCCTCACAATTTATAGGATGACTATACAGACCTTGGGTTCAAAGAAATAAAATGTTTAGTTAAGGTGGAATACATCACTCCAATACGGGGCCAGAGAGCACAGCATTCTAATAGGTTCCAACTGCCTCTTTTCATATTGTAACTTCACTCTTGGTTTTTCCTATTCATTATTAAGCCATCTATTCTCTCTGAAACAAATGTTTCCATAAATAGTTAAACCATATCTCCAAAATGTCTACATGACTTAAAGTTAGCCCAAATGAAAGTGATTCAATAATGTTACCATGACAACTTGTTCAAGGTTCTTGGACTTGTATTTTGGTAGAGAACATAGATTTATAATCACAACATTTCCTGATAACAGTCCATTGGACTATATAAAATCTTTAGGCACATACTTTGCGGACAAATGTCTCAGGCTGAGATTATAACACGAGATCATATCATTGATCAATAGATTCTGTGTCACAATAGAACTCTCTTTCTGACTCGAGAATCTCTTCTTTATCTGCTAAAATTCATGAGAAGGAAATTAATAAGAATGATTTGTAATGACTTTTCCTCACTGTACTTTCTGCTCATAATTTCCTTTAACATAAAACCTACAGCCACAGGTAGGTTTCTGTTGCCCAAAAATTGTTGGAAGCATAAAACAACTTTACAACAATGTTTCTCTATTTGTCTATGTATTTGTTAGTTAAAACATACTCCTTTCTTATTTACTTACTTCAGCAAAAGAAGATTAAAGCACTTCATACCAATTTCAGGGTGCACTGTTGGAATTCAAAAGGATGAGTTCTATTTTATTTGCAGAAACTTAAATGATCAAGCCTTATTGTTCTTTCTCTTATAATTGATCCCCATTGTCCAAATCCATAGGGGCCAAAATCTTGGTCATTTCACGTGACTGTTTATTTGAAAATCATTTCTGCATTTAGTTTAATAAAATAAATAAACAAATAATGCTGTTGATTTCTGCTGAAACCCAGAATTAAAACAAAGATGGATGTACTTGATTATTCTAGAACATCACTTGAGGGTTACATGTGATGTCAGATAATGTTTATTGAAAAATTTTCATTTTTTAAGTATGAGAAATAGGGGTTAAAGAGGTGATGGATCCACTACGAGTGCTCAGCTAAATAGTAACAAAGGTAGTATCAGGGTCAGTTATCTGTCTAATGTCAAGTGAATTTACAGTGGGCATTATAGGTAATTGTGATTAAATGGAATTTTACTATATTAAAACATTTTATTTTATTGTAGAGAAATAAGACAATTGATTAATGAAAGTATTAATCCAGCCAGATGTTTAACTGAAGAAAAATTTGATCCTAAGGATAATGCAAATTGAATACAAAACAAAACTTCTAAACTTAAAGGGAAGAGTCCAGCCTGGCATAACTAGTACTGAAAAGGAAGTTGGGTAATATTACTTTAGATTCTGTCTTGTTGTCGTGTCTTTATAGTTATTATTTTTTTTTCATTGAACTAGTTCATCTTATAATTAAATATTTTTTTTTAAATTGAGGTAATGTTGATATACAACACTGTATAAGTTTTAAGGGTATAGATTCCATACCTGTAAAATGTATATTACCATACCATACCAGCCACCAAAGTACCACCATAGATAGTCCATTGGCCCCTCTTCCTCCTCTTCTTCTTCAGTTTGACACCTGCTCTGGTTTCCTCAGTTTGCTTTTTTCAAAGATTTATTTTATTCATTTATGCATACAAGAGCTGGGGGTGGGGGTAGCCCAGAGATGTTGGGGGAGTGCAGTAAGAGGATTTAGTAGAGACAGAGAGGGGAGCACAGCAGGCAGACTGACTGAAATACACAGCTGAGGGGAGCAGCAGGAGAGACAGGAAAGGTCTGCTGTACCATATGGGTCAGCTCCCTGGACAGGGATCAAATTTGTGCTGCAATGGCAGCAGATAGTGTCATAGTGCTGAGACTTGCACAACCAGAGAGGCAAAAAACTTTCCTCAGTATTGCAATCAAATGTCTAGGGTTTGTTTAGGTTTAATTGTTGTATCTTCCTCTATCTTTTCTTTGTCTCTTTATATTACACATACGAGTGAAATTATCTGGTATTTCTCTTTCTCTTTCTGGCTTATTTTGCTTAGCGCAATACTCTCCAGTTCCACCCATGTTGCAAATGGCAATATTTCCCTCTCTTTTAAAACATCCGAGTAATATTCCTTTATGTTGGGTATACAACAAATGTCCTTTATCCATTCATTTATCCCTGGGCAATTAACTTGTTTCCATTACTTGGTTAATGCAAATAGTGTTACAATGAACATAGGAGTATGTAAATTCCTTTGAATTATGTTTTTGTACTCTCTGGGTATAGATACCAAAGAGTGGAATTGCTGGGTGATATGATAAATCCATTTTTAGTCTTTTGGAGAATCTCTTCATTTCTTTCCATAAGGGCTGGACCAGTCTACATTCCCACCAAGATGGTAAAAGGCAGGCCTCCCTTGGTAGCCCAGTGGTTGAGCTCTGGGCTGCAAAACTGCCCGCAGCCTCTGCAGCATCTGTTCGATCCCCGGCCACCAGCGAGGGTCCCACATGATGCCTAGACTTCTCCTGCCATGCCTGCTGCTCCCCTCAGCAGTGTATTTCGTCAGTCTGCCTGTTCTTCTCCCTGCTCTGGCTCTACTGAATTCTCTCACCCTCCCGCACTTCTGACAGTACCCAGTGCTTGTATAAATAAATAAATAAATCTTTAAAAAAAAATTAAGAAAAAAAAAACAGATTAGAGAAGAACAAAGACCCCAGGAGACGCGCACACAGCCCGGGCTGCCGGTAAGCTTGTGCG